AGACAAAGCACGATGCAAGCTTCTCACCAAGATTTCATGTTTTCTTCTTCTTTTGTTTCAAACCCTCCCCTTAAAAAGTCTAGCATAGGCTCTCCTTATCCATGTGTCTATGTGTCACATTTCTTACCTTCTTCATAAATGAGCATCTCTTTCTTACATTCGATCACGTAATTAGCAAAAATAAAAAAAATTTCCGAACTAAACACAAGGTACACCAATGATTTGAGGCACCTTTGGAACCCTGTCATTCCCTATTAACCATTTAATCACATATCCATTTCTTCGTCAACCACTTTGAGCCTCGTCTAACAATTGACCTTATTTATTCAACCCACATTCACTTAACCCTGGGATGGGAAGGTGTGTAATTTGTGTAACAATCAGAAAGCAAGTTCAAATTTTTTTTAAAAAAAGGGAAAAGAATAAGTAAATAATAATAAATAAATAAAAAAAAAAACAATGTCTAAAGGCAAGTGTTCCAATGTCTCCGATATGAACATGTCTCAAATTGCGTCTCTCATCGAGTGCTTGGTACCGTGCCTGAGAAACATGAATGCTAAGTGAGTGATGGACCGCATGATCTGAGATTGCCCATATTGATTCAAAAGAATGAAAAAAACGAAAAGCAAAAAAAAAAAAAAAAAAAAAAAAAATTGCAAAATTCAAAATTTTCAAATACACAATTTCATATCTTGGGGGCTTCTCTCGGGTCTTGAGCCTTTTACCCCTTTCTATCTTAAACGTTCAGCTTAACCACCTTACAACCCTTGAAAGACTTCTTTGAGGTGTACACACACTTGTGTAAAGTTCGGTTAGAGCTACGTTCGGCCTGATTCCTAACGGATACGTAGGCAACCTCATATTGAGGTGCGGCCACATTCATATTCATATCTATGCATGATCGAGTCAAAGAATATCCAATGCTTATCTCTATATCCCTACCCATTTAGAGCTAGACTTGGGGGCTTGAACCCATATCACATTAGCTTACCCAACCTAAAGAGTCATCATCTTTGACTCTTCTGACATATATTTCCATCACCATAACCCTTGCAGCCAGCCTTAGTATCACATTCACACACTTCACTCACACATCCATATCCATATCAATCATCCATCCCTTTAAGATCCATTTATCATGAAATCTTGTTTAAACACTGTCCATGTTTCATCGTCTTTCAGGACAACATTCATTAAAAGAAACAGTGTATACTTGCTTAGCTTCCTGACTTGAGCAATGTTCATTGTTTCATGTATCGCATAATATGTTGAGAAACATTTATATACAAAGCATATCGTTCTTAGCTCCTTGACCTAAGCAACGTTCATTATGCAATAATCACTTCATCTATATACGTGCTTAGCTTCCAGACCTAAGTGACGTTCAAGATCGCTTCTTTACACCATATATGATGCTTATCTCCAAGACCTAAGTTAATTCATCTATCGTGTCACATGATGTAATTGTCCTTAGCCTCCTGGCCTAAAGACATGCATCATGCATACATTACTTTCAAGAAAAGCAATTCAATCCATGCGATTCATTTTGTCTTGCTCAACGAGGAAGTTCAAAACTTCTTTCCTTTTTTTCGCGTCTTTTCTTTTAGGGAAGTTTTAAAAAACTTTTTCAAAATTTTCTCATCAAGGAAAGTTCAAAAATAAAAGTTCAGTTTTCACATCTTTCTTTTTCGGGAGAAAGTCGGTACCCTCCACTCATGACAAAAATTGACGAAATTTTTTTGCTTTTGCATCTTCGTTTGCTTGTGTCTGCACACACACATATACACACACACACACACACTCACAAGTCGTACACATGTCATGTCACATCAAGTCAAACTTGGTCAAGTCAGTGGTTAAGTCAATCACAATATATACGAGTCCATTAGCAAACTTATTTTTGTAGGTCTCATCTACAGCCCACGTTCGGAGACAAGCGAACCAACTACAACCCACGTCCGGGGACAAGCGGACTATCTACAGCCCACGTTCGGGGACAAGCGGACCATCAACAGCCCACGTCCGGGGACAAGCGGACCATCTACAGCCCACGTCCGGGGACAAGCGGACCATCTACAACCCACGTCCGGGGACAAGCAGACCATCTACAGCCCACGTCCGGGGACAAGGGGACCATCTACAGCCAACGTTCGGGGACAAGCGAACCAACTACAGCCCACGTCCGGGGACAAGCGGACCATCTACAACCCACGTTCGGGGACAATCGAACCACCATCATTTCATGACGCAAGGTTCTCGATACACAGAGACTTGCAATCTCATCATTTGTCGACTTTCCTCAAGCATGGAAAGTATTATCCGGTGGATTTCTTCAAGCATAGAAAACCGCCAAATTCCTTTTTCGGCTTTCCTCAAGCATGGAAAGCATTATTGGTGGATTTCTTCAAGCATAGAAAAATGCCAAAATCATATGTCGACTTTCCTCAAGTATGGAAAGTGTCATCCGGTAGGTTTCTTCAGGCTTAGAAAGCTACCAAACTCATCTCTCGGCTTTCCTCAAGCATGGAAAGCATTTTAACAAACGTCATCCGGTGGATTCCTTCAAGCATAGGAAGCTACCAAACTCATTTGTCACCGATACACTGGTGTCAGACACGCATTCTATCCCTGTACTCTTTTATCTGTAGAACTAACATTTTTCAGCAGGTATCGGCGTATACAGAATGATTTAGGATCGCAGAGCGTCTTAAATCATTCTCCGTCCCTATCGACTACTTTGATTATCGTTTTCGAAACTGACGTTTCTAGAAACTCAGTCAAAGTGGGCGCTTCTGTAGACACCTAAAAATGTCTCCCCAAAACCAAACCCGATGATGAACTATCCAACGATATATTATAAGCCCAAATCCGAGTTATAACGAATAAGTTATGGACAAAATATTAAACTGAGCCCAAACCGAACCTAAGCCCACCTTACCTACGACCCAATGATCATGTGGAGGGTCCAAATTATTTAATCTCATTCCTAAAATAATTAGGATTAATTGGAAGCTTCTACAAGTTTCTAAAATATCTTAATTATCCGTTTTGAAAAGATAAGATTAAAGAGTTTGAAATTGAATAAAAATTTTCTTTTTGAAAATCCTATTTGAAAGATGTTCAAAGATAGACGGATATGAATTTCGTGCCTCATATTTTTTATCCAAATTTTATATGGTTGGATATCCTTGAAATTATATTTCCAATGATATATTATAATATCAATTCCGAGCTATCATGGAAAAGATATGAATAAAATGTCAAACTCTATCCAAAACTGACACCGTCTCACTATTTCAGCTATATCTTTTATTCGATAAAATATTTAAATCTGATTTCAATTGGGTTAGATAGTAGACTTCAATATATTTCCAACTATATCTTATTCATCTTATTCAAATTTCTGGATCAAAAGATATGATAAAAACAAAAAACCGCAAAAACTGCTGTCTATCGAGTTTTATTCCGATTTAATTCGGATCTTATCTTGTTTTTTCGACCCTTCTTTTTTTTCTCTATAAATAGAGGATATCACCCCTTTTCCAATCATCAACAAGATTGATCATCAAATAATTCTCTTCTCTCTCTTTAGCCTAAACACTAGCCACCCTATTCTCTCACCATTCTTCCCTTAAGCACTCTAAGGAGTCCATACAATACCCGAAGTTCTTTACTTTAACCAAGGCGTGAGAGTTATAATTAACTGAGGGTTTGGACCAAATCAAATCTAAATTTATTTAATTTAATTTTCATTTGTTTTATATGTTTTATTGAAGTTACTAACAATTTATTCATGATGTAGCAATTTAAAGGAACGCGCGGAATGTGAGTAATTAATTAATTTAATTACTCTTATTTTATTTTCTTATTGCTAGTATCATGATTAGGTTATTTTATATTTAATTTGACTAACGCTATTATTGTTAAATTGCTTCCAATATTAATGTTTGTTCTATTATTTTTATTGATCACCATATTGCATGTTTAAAGGGAATATGTAATTGAAAATCACGCCTAATAAGATAATTTGGACGACCGGTTTAGGTTCCTTTTTAATCTTGTTATTAATTCAAGTGATCACGATATTATAGAATTATATGTTGCATTAATATTCAACCAATTTAGCATAATAATAGTTTGGAGCAAATTGAATCTTTGTTTGCATGCCTTTGAGATCGTAGGAATCACTTTTCACTATAAGAATCGAGTAGAGGCCAATACGGGCGAATGTGACTCCATGACTCACTTCGTACCATCATCCCCGATCTCCTTTCGTGGTTCCGAACAATATGGAGTTAGTAATCTCATGGATTATGAATGGGGTGTAACCTTCACGGGTCAATCGTTGTTGCCTTCGTTGTCCCTTAATCGTGGTTGCCTTTTATGATCCGTGAACGGTTTACAAGTTCCTTAAAAACTTGTTGGCGGCTCCCTACTTTCCTTGTCCCTAATCGTATAGTTCAATTCCCACTTCCTATGAGTGCCAAGCATATTCACAACATGCTCTAACGTAGGCGCACTTCGAACGACGTTTACAATACACAAATTTTTTTTAAAAAAAAACAATCAATTAACAATTACATGACTTCATAACACTACAAGAAAACAGGTCATTTCCGACGGACACGAAAATCCATCTAAAAGTACGAAATTTCCGATGAAAATAAAATTTGTCGTATATTTATGACGGATTTTTAATCCGTCAGAACATGTAACTTTTCCGAAGGAAAATCCGTCAGAAATGGTATATTTTTCAACGGATTAAAAATCCGTCGTAAATTTACGACGGATTTTAATTCCGTCGGTGGTTTGTGACAGATTTTAACCCGTTTCCAACAGAATTTAATTTTAAAAAAAAAAAAACCCAAAACCCTAATAAAACGGCGCCCCCTACCCCTCCCCTTTCATTCACATTCCGCCTCTCTCCTCTTCTCTCTTCTTCTTCTGATCTTCTCCTCTCTTTCTCTCTCATCCTCCTCCTTCTCTTCTCACGCTTTCTCTCTCCTTTCCTCCTCCTCCTTCTCTTTTCATGCTTTCTCTCTCCTCTCGCAAGCTCTCCTTTCCTACTCTTCTCTTCTACTTGTGTATGTCGTTTACGGTGATGCTTCAAGGTCAAATTAATGGTTTTTAAGGTCAAATTCGACCATGAAAATCCTAAATCTAGGGTTTTTGTGGTCGAATTTTTCCTTGTTAAACCAATTCGAGGTGAATTTTGAAGTGTTTTATCTAAAGGTACGTTTTAATTTTTATTTTTGATTTCTTTATTTAATTTTTGGGTGATTTTCTGTGGTGGTGGTGGTATGGGTTGTGGTTGGTCTGGGTCATTTTTGGGTGGGTCATGGTGGTGGTCTTTTTTTTTATGTTTTGTTGGTGGCGGTGGTCTTGGGTTCCGCCACGGCTAAGGTGGGTGGTGTGGTTAGGGTTCGATCAGGGGTGGGTGGTGTGGGTTTGGTGGGTTTTGGTTAGGAGTAGGTGGTGTGGGTTTGGTTAGTGTATTTGGTCAGGGGTGGGTGGTGTGGGTTTTGGTGGGGTTCGGTTAGGGGTGGGTAGTGTGGGTTTGGTTAGTGTATACGATCAGGGGTGGGTGGTATGGGTTTTGGTGGGGTTTGGTTAGGGGTGGGTGGTGTGGGTTTGGTTAGTGTATTCGGTCAGGGGTGGCTGGGTTTTGGTGTGTTGTTTCGGTTAAGGTGGGTAGTGTGTGGTGTAGTGTGGTTGAGAGGGGCGTTTTGGGTGGGTTGAGGTAGTGATACGCTGTGCCGGTAGTGGCACGACGTATTTTTTTAAATTTCCTGAAATTAATTTTCGATGAAATTCTGGTCAAAAATTTCCGACGAATTTAATTTCCGACGGATTATGCCGGTGCCTAAAAACCTCTGACGACGGAAAATTCCGTTGGAAATTCTGTCGAAAAAGTGTTTCCGACGGAATTTCTGTCGGAAAAGGTCTTTAACCTACAAACACTTTTCCAACGCGACTTCCGACGAAACAAGTTTTCCAACGGAATTAAGGGTGTTTCCGACAGATTTTTTTTTCTGTCAAAATGGATGATTTTCTAGTAGTCTAATGTAAATGAAAAATCAAATAAACACTTTCGAATCAAGTAAACAACACTTACATGTCTCCAAAATCATCATTTTCTTCATTTCATTCTTGTTTTGTAGATACTAGCGCAATTTCTTCTCTTATATCAAAATTCAAGTTCGATCGTAAAAAAAATAAGAAAATAGACTTACGATTTTGATTTTGTTGGAGATTTTTCTTTCTCTGGTGCAATTTCATCTTATATATCACTCATTGTTGTTGATATTGTATCAAATTTACAGATTTTTCTGCATGATTGAGCAATTTCAAAGCAAAAATGGAGAGAGAAAATGGCAGATGAAGAAAGAGAAAATGATGAATTTTTTTTTGTTTTATATTTTTGTACTGGGGTAGGCAGTGGCAAACCGGCAATTACTCTTTACTATGAAGCATGTGGTTAATGGGTTTATCTATAAGGGTTTTGAACTGCTGGGCATTTGAGGGATGCCAATACTCCCTTCAAAAGCCACCGCTTCAAAACTGGTGGGAATACTTGTTAACCGGTGCCAAAAAAACCCAAAAAAATATAAGTCACACCATACGGAATAATACGAGCCAAATGGTGAGCAACAAAATTCCCGTCTGGCTTTACATGAGACCAAGCAATATCATTAAAAAAAGGTACAAGTATCTAAGAAATCATCTAATAGAAAATCCAAGTCAAAGACATAATTTGAAGCTTTCGAAAGCCTGGAGATAATGGTGCTGCTGTCCGACTCTAGAATAATGTGTTTAAGCCCATGTTGCCTTGCCAAACGCACATAATAAATAGCAACTTTGCCTTCTGCTAACATAGGGGACCAGAATGCCTTGTATCTTCGTACAGTAGCAAAGACAACTTCTCCCAGATGATTGCGAGAAACCACACCCAATCCTACCCAACCATCAACATTCAAAACAGCATCACAGTTAACTTTGATGCGGCCTTACGAAGGGAGTTTCCAAATCTTCAAGCTCTTGGTTGGCTTTGGGCTCTTGCAGCCATAAATCTTTAAGGCATACCTGTTATAATCCTCCACAGGTTAGTCATGTGCATGAGGACAGTATTGTGGGAAGTCTCCTTGTTATTAAAGACTTTGTTATTGCGCCTTTCTCAGATTAACCATAGAAGAGCTGCTCTTCATTGCTGAGTCTTCTGATTCTCGATCACTACCACATGCCTCTAATAGATCTTTAAAATTAGGAAATTCTTCCAATTTGACAAGCTTGTCGCAATTGGCTGCAGTCCATAGATCACGTACAACAATACAAGTAAAGAATGCATGGTGCATGGTTTCGGGTTCAGCCAAGCACCAGGGGCAGTGGTCTTCATCTGACATATGTCAGAATTTCAAGAGAGCACGAACAGGTAAAGAGCTGGTGGAAACTCGCCACTAAAGGTGTCTTACCTTGGGAGTAGTTTCAAGCTTACACAAATTGACCCAAGCATGATGAAAAAGATCAAGGTTACAAGATTTTCCCAACATATAGGCGATTTTAACAAAGTAAAAACCATTGTTGGAAAAGGCCCAAGTGAGTCTATCTTCCGGATTTCTCAAGCTTAGAGGTATCGATAAAATACATATGATGTCCTACTCATTAAAAATAGTAGCGTAGCTCATGGTTCTAGTCCATGACATCAAAGTCTATAAGGTCAATGACATAAGTAACCAAATCAAAGTGTGGAGATAGAATATGTTAGCCGTTCTCGTAAGCAACCCATGAATCATCCCAGATATTAATCTGGCTGCCATTTCCAACCTTCAAGATGAGACCTTCCTTAACTAAGGCCTTAACTCCCCAAATACTTCTCCATCGAATAGCTACTGTAGGGAATATTTGAAGAATTACCCCAAACTTGAACCCCACTGTGATCATACACTAAAGCATGGTGGCGTCCAAAGGGAAGGAAGCTAGAGAAAAAGAGCCGCCAATAAGTTTTAGGAGCTTGTAAACAGTTCATAGGGTGAAGGTTACACCCCTTAGCGATCTAGGAGATCGTTAACTCCAATAGGTCTGGAACCATGACTGGAAGTTCGGGGATGAAGGTACAAGTCCAATCTAAAAGAGAAATAACCTGCCCTAATAATAGGCCTCTACTTTATTCTTCTCGTATTCATGTGCGCTTTCTGACTAACATGCAATCATTAGGTTCACCCTAAACCTGTTTATCTATGTTGATTGAATATTAATGCACAAATAAATCTATTTTGGTGATCACTTGAATTATAATCATATTAACCCTAAACAAGATTATTAATTATCTTATTAAGCGTGATTACAAGTACAAATTCCCTTAAACATGCATAAAAGGAGTGGTCAAGCAATAAAAATATAAATCAAGCAACATAATAATCATAATAATAATCATAATTAAAATAACCATGTTCATGTTAAAAATAAAGCATAATAATAGCAAGATCCTATGCATGATACTAACAAGATTAATAACAAACCCTAGCATGTCACTAAACATCAAAAATCAAAGCTTTAACCCTAACATGATACTAAAATGACATTAGGAAAGAAAATATGAAGCATTCTTTTAATCATACTTGATATTAGGAATTTTTAGTTGTTACCCTATACATGATACTAAGAAGCAATAAAACATCCTAACATTATACTAGGAATCAAAATAACAATCTAAGCATGATTTCAATAAAGCAATTAAAGCACTTACTTGGATGCCTCGTACCTCTTTCTAATAACAAAATACACATGTTAGTAACTTCAAGGAAAATAATAAATCAAAGAACTAAATTAAATAGTTGAAATAGAGATTCGGGACAAAACCCTCAGAAATATCAAACCTTTCACGTCTAGGGCGAAGGCAACTTCGAACTTAGCTAGGTGTGTGTAGCGCTAATGTATGAGGAATTGTGTTTGTAAAATGGTTGGTTTAGAAAGAGAGAGAAAGAATCAAGAAATTCTTGATGAGAATTGATTAGAGTTGATGATTAAAAACGGAGGTGTAAGGATGCTATTTATAATAAAAACAGTCCGGATTAGATAAAAAAAAATTAGAGTTTGAAGAGGAATAAAACACGACGTTGTCGCCGCAACTGCCCTTGTCGCCGCGCGAGAAGCCTGTCGTCCGACGCTGCGGGACAGTTTTTGCGGATTTTGTTTTTATCATATCTTTTGATCCAGAAGTTAAAATATGGCATATAATATGTCATTGGAAATCCCTTGAAGTATAATTTCCAACCCAATTGGAATTAGATTAAAATCGTTTGTAGATAAAAAGATATGGCCGAAATAGTGGAAGGGTGTCGGTTTTGGATAGAGTTTCATATTCCATTCATATCTTTATTGTTATAGCTCGGATTTAATATTATAATATATCATTGGAAAGATAATTTCAAGATCTATCCAACCATATAAGATTTGGATAAATATTATGAGGCACGAAAATAATATCTGAATATATTCGATTTCATACAAAATAAGGATTCTCAAAAGGAGTAGTATTATTCAATTTCAAACTCTTTGAAACATAATTATCAATCCTAACTCCATTAGGATTTAAAAGAACCTTCTAGAGTATTCTAGAAGATTATAATCAATCCTAATAGCTTTAGGAATGATAATTAATAATAGGCCCTCCTCTAGAACATTGGGCCGTATGTAAGAATCAAACCGGGCCCTGTTTAGTATTTTGGCCATAACTTCCTCATTATTCATCGGAATTGGGCTTATAATATATCGTTGGAAATGTCTTTTTGAGCCCTATCCAACTACACTATTATTTGACCCTTGTAATGGACCAAACTAAATTGGAATGCAAATTTTTTCATGAATAGGGTAAGAAAAGAAATGTTTTCAAAAATAGAAAGAAGAGATATTTTAATAAAAACATCTTCATCACTAGACTTTTCACACTTTCACCTCGTTCGATAATCAAATGACATGAAAGGTATTCATCACTGGGTTTGGTTTTGGGGAGACACATTTGGGTGTCTACAGCTACACAAAAGTCCAAGGGAAGAACTTAAAAAATCACTGTGAGGAAAATATTTTTTTCCCCAACACTCTGCTCAACAGTGAGTCCGGATTGGAAATAAGCCTCCAAGCTTGCTTCCCGAGCATCGCTTCATTGAACACCGCCATGTCATGGAATTTAAGGCCACCAAGCATCTTCTGATTGCATAGGGAATTCCAGTTTATCCACTGAACTTTCCGGCGATTATTAGAGTGACCCCACCAAAATTTCGCCATCAAGGATCTAATATCATCAATGATAGTAGGTTAAAATCTATAAACCCCCATAATGTAAGTCGGAATCGCTTGGATAACGGATTTTATGAGGGTCTCCTTTCTGGCTCTAGACAAAAGTTTCTCTTTCCACCCTTGGAGTTTCTTCCATATTCATTACTTAAGGGGATTAAACACCGCTTTCTTAGATCTCCCAATGATTGTCGGAATTCCAAGATACTTCCTGTGTTCATCAACAAGTCTCATCCCAAAAAAAATCTACAAGATCTTTTTTCACTAACTCACACACACCTTTGCTAAAAGAGACCTGCGGTATTTCATAATTATTTTTTTGTACGGAAGCTGCTTCATATTTGTTGAGTATATCAACTATCTTGGAGCATTCTCTTCGGTTGGCTCTAGAAAAAAGAAAACTATCGTCAGCAAAGAAAAGATGAGAAATTTCAGGACCATTTCGGCTGGCCCGAGCACCATGAATATCGCCTTGCGATACAGCCTTGGAAATGAGAAGAGATAAATCATCTGCGATCATAATAAATAAATACGAAGAGAGTGGATCGCCTTGCCTTAAACCCCTTGACGGTTTAACTTCCCCACAAATAGTACCATTTATAATAAAAGCATAGGAAACCGTCGAAACACAACTCATAACCGTCTTCACCCAGAACTCTGCAAACCCTATTCTAATCACCAGCTTCTCCAAAAAGGTCCGTTTAACCCCGTCATAAGTCTTACTCATATCTAGCTTCAAAGCTATCGTTCCCTTCTTACTTTTGCTCTATTTTTTTCATGGTGTGAAATAATTCCAGAGCAATGAGGGCATTGTCAGTAATAAATCTCCCCGGAACAAAGGCACTTTGATTTTTAGAAATGATATTAGGAAGAATTGACTTCAAACGTATCACAATAGCCTTAGAGGCTATTTTATACAGAACATTGTAAAGAGCAATCGGCCTAAATTTAGTCATATTTTAGGGATCATTTACCTTAGGAATCAAAACAATATTGGTGCCATTGAAGTCTGTCGAAGAGATATGACCATGAAGAATATTGCACACAATTGTAGTAATGTCGTCCCCAATAATATGCCAGAATTTTGGGTAGAAAATTGCATGAAGTCCGTCAGGTCCCGGAGCTTTGCAAGGATGCATCTCAAAAATTGCAGAGTAAATGTCTTTCTTTGTGAAAGGCTGGAGAAGTAGAGCATTGACATCATCAGTATTGGAAGGAGTAATAGCTTCAAGCACTTCATTACAGGAGTTTTCAGAATACGGCCTCGAGGTAAAAATTTTAGAGTAATAGCCTTGAACTATACCCTCGATTTCCTCGTCTTCTCTGCGCCACTCCCCTTTCTCATTATGCAGCCCCACAATTTTATTTTTCTTTTTCTGTTAGGAGGCCTTGTGATAAAAATACTTTGTTTTTTTGTCTCCGTCTTTTATCTCAGTCAATCTCGATCTCAAATACCACTAAGCTTCTTACTGTTCATGCACGACATCAGGCTTTTTTTCAATTTCTGCCCCTAGCCCGATAATAGACTTAGACATTGCTCCCTCTTATACGGCTTTAAGCTTTAGCTCCAAGTCATTGAATTGTTTATTAAAATTAGGTTAATTTTTAAATTACCACCCAAAAATGTAACAATTTTCTAACTATCAGTTTAATTACCACCCTTTAAATTAGATAAATGCTCAGATTACAACCCATTTAAAAAATTGTTTCCCACTCCAGCATCGCAAGGAACCAAGTTACCTCCTCAACCGATCTAGCATAAGGCACCCCTTAGTGTCTTTCCACGTCTGTCGAACTACCTTCTCGCACTCAGTGTCAAGAAGCCAAGCCGTCTTGAATTTGAAGGATTTCTTCCCTCTCTTGCGCTTTCTCTTAGGCCGCTTCTGTCTAACCATAATTGGAGTGTGGTTAGACTTGAACCTAACTAGGTGCTCCACATAAGAATCAGGGAACAAAGAAAACCATTCATCATTTCCACAAAATTCACTAGTAGAAAAAGTGCTATTTGTAACTGGCGAAATTGACTTTTTGTAACTGGCATTGTTGGTTGCGAATGCCACCGTTACAACTAGTGAAAATTATTCGTAACCGGCTCATGATAGTTACAAATAACGTATTATTCGTAACTGGCATAACCCAACGCTAGTTACAAAAAGTCTATTTTCCAAGTAAAACAGTACACTATTTGTAACTGGCATTAAGTTACGTCGGTTACAATAAGGGTATTATTAATAACTGGCAAATCATAACGCTGGTTATGAATATATTTTTTTTATTTTTAAAAAAAAAAATACTATTAGTAACTAGCATTAGATTACGCCAGTTACTAATAAATATATATTTTTTTTAAATATTTGATTCGAATACAAAAATGATAGTATATCCTACCAAATGATCCATCGTCAAATGGGTTATAACCTGTTACAATTCAACCAAAAAAACACGTACTGCGAATACTTCCATACTTCCATACAATACAAACACTCTAAATAGTTCCGCACAACTCGAATTATTCATCCATAACCATACAATACAAAAAAATTAATTATACTTTAATTTCCAAAAAACAATTAAACTTGAATTAAAAAAGCATTGATTTATAATTTAGAAATGTAATAACAATAACCAATAGGCTAAATAAAATTAAAGTAGATATATAAAAATGTGTTATATCATTTTATTAAGCTAAATGCGATAAATCATAACATCGATTAATAAGATAACTAGTGTTTCAACAAAAAATTAAGCCTAAAAAACTTAGCCCATTGTTCTCGAATCTCATCCAATTCTACATCGTTGTAGGCTGCAAGTCTTGCCAAATACTCCTGAAAAAAAAAACGTGTATATATATTATACTTTATAAAAATAAAACATCAACCAAAACTCGTAATACATCTCATCACTAACCTCTTTCAAATTACCCTTGCAATCGCTATGGAAAGATACTATCTCATACATATATCTCATCACATAATAAGCACATTCGGTACCACCACATTGTTGAGCACACTAATTCAAATGAACATAGTACAATTATTTAATATATTAAATAATACTTTCATTACCAATAGAACGAAAAAGCAAAAATTATACGCTTACCTCCATTCTTATGTATAGTAATTGTGGCTTACTCGTTTTGAAAGCATTTCCTTTAAGGTGTGACCTGTATACATTGTAAGGTCTAAAAAAAAATCATAAAAATCATTAGATTAAACGAAAGAAAAATAAATTTTAATCACATGCATATGAATACGTAGTACTAGGAATGTTGTGTACTAACATCTTCATTACTTTGGACAACTCTGAGTTTCGAGCGTTCGGAGGTGATTGAATAACAGAATCAAACTCATACACAAGACTCATATGCAAATCAATCACATAGAGTACCCAATGATTCCTACATTTTAATAAACTTGTTTGTATTATTCACATAATTAAAATAATAAAATTATGAAAAAGTAAAGATTTCAAGGATCAGTAGTACATACGCTTCCATATATGGAGCCAAAATGAATTTGCATTGTGCATCATTTTTCCTTAATTCAGTAAGAAAAGCATTTTTCAAATACATTTGGACTTCAAGGAAATCTTTCTTGATTTCAACTGCAGAAATTTTTTGGGGGCACAAGAACTTGATTTTAGTCTTCTGAAATAATGAGATATGCTTTTCAATTAAGTACCTGCATTTTACAGAAAAAATAAATAATTAGTATAATAAATGGATCTAATAAAATATATTTCATAGTAAAACAAATTCAAATAACTTAAATGAATGTTAGTATTTACAATATGTAGACATGGATTAATGAAATATTAGCCCATGCTCCTCGTAGTAATTCAAGAGACATCATCACTAGTAACATAAATTTGTGTGTCTTCCTTTTGATAAAACAATGGAGCCTTCAATGGAATTGTCGTAGTATCATAATCTCCACTTCCTGAAGTCATGTGTGTTCAACATAGAACACTGTTCACCAAGACTCTCAACAATATTTTCCGGAATAGTTATGCCTTTGCCTTTAATAGTTGAATGCTCTGAGTTGATAGGTCCGCAACTATCAACTTTCTCTTTGGTTTGCACCAATTCATTATCCGTCTTTTTTGCCAAAGTCATAACCTTCAAGAAAAGATAAATATTAATATAATTTAGTTACAAATGTCTTAGATCATTACATAGCATATCAATGAATTACCTCATCAGTAAAGAAGACTAAATCTGCCGGCCACCCCAAAAAATTACCTTTCGCCTCACCCAACTTGGTGATACCGACATCAGTCTCTTCTGGGAGATTTAGGTGAGAATAATCACTATAAACATGGTCAACACTAACTCTATAGATGTCACGGTTCATTTTCTTGTTATGAATCACTCCACTAGGACAAGGTTCTATCGTTCCATCGGCCACAATCACTGAGTTCCCACTGAACTCATCAACTAAAGCAAGAAGACATTTAGTTGGGATCTACATAAGTGATCATGTCGTAAGAAACATGAAAGCATAATCTACAGTTAACAACTAATATTCAAGTGCTGAATACAGTGTTTATATTTTAAAGCACTGATGTCAAAAAATAAGATTAATAAAATTTATGAATGATATTTTCCTTTTCATAAATTAGAAGCATTTTATATAAGCAATAAGACCGATTAGTACTATATGTCTACATGTTTAATAAAAATGTGTGTCAAGGGACATAATAAGGCTTCCAGATTATAATTATGTCAATAGACTAAATGTCACGTACACTATAACTATCTAAGACCCTGAGATTCCAAGGAATATAAGAACCAGAACTAATGAATACATGAAAGTAAAGACACATCCCATTAGCATCAAGCCTCAATGAATCCTAATCTTCCATTCTATTGTCCATTGCTTGAGATTTTTCACTTTGAAACATTGATTCAGCCTTCTCCCTATCATATTTTCCTAATATGTCAAAATCCCAAAAAGCGGGCAAATAATTTTATGACTAAATTAGTACGTGAAGGCTGAGCATTTTTGCTATTACAGACATGGAGAAATACTAATTTTTTTTATGTTGAAGCAACCATTCTTTGGCTCTTTTAGTTTTCTTATTTTTAACTCCAAGATAGTTTTAAAAAAAAAAAGCCATCAGGAATCCTGTTCCAAATTATTTGAATTACATACTGTTGTCAAAAAAACTCGAGATCTAACAACTAAGAACCAGCTAAATTATAATGATTCAGCCATTAATTGTACAAAATACAGATTATAACATCAGAAGCAATGAATATGGAACCTCTATGAAAAAGAATGTTCACTGTTCATGGTATATTTTGAAGTAGCTTATCACAGTTATTCTGGCTCAAGTACTCTTGTTTGATAAAGGTACAAGTCCAAGTGTCAAACACTAAAACTAATATTTTATTTAAACATCTATGTGTCAAGTCCAAATGAAGTATAGTAAGGATGTCAAACATCAAGCACCCAGCACCAATATTTGATTAAAATGAGGAAATATGCTCCAAACAATATGAGAACTACAATCTATCTTTCTTAATAATTTTGGAGACAAAAATTGACTGTTTGAGGATAGAATGAGCAATGCAATATTTTTGTTTCCAGGAAAAAAGGGATGATAGGTTTGGGTGATATACATATAAATATATAATGAGAATCAAAAGTAATGCAGTGCCTCAATTGAAGCGTTTTGCATAAGGGCCAGTGGGCATGTGGGATTATGGTACATACATTTCCCTTGGAAGATAGCAATACCATCATTAGGTTAGACCCTTGATTTAAAGTGCATTGACTAAGAACAACTTCACAGAACTTCATGGAGCATATGATCATGATAAATATCAAAGGAAGTCTATACACTCATATCAGAAACAGTAATTGATAAATATCATGGCCTTCTAAAGGGGCTGCACCTGAGCCCCTTTCATAAACCCTAGATAAAAACACCATGTTTTTAAAACGCGAAGGCACAAATCAGCACACAAATCAGCGATACAGGACAGAGCAGCTATATGACAGCAACAACAAGACAAAAATGAGTGTTACTGTTTCATTGCTTGAGTTGAGGGGTGAGTCTATACCAGGATTCACAGCATATAACTCCACATACCTAAAATTAAGAAGACTAAACAATACCACTCCAACATCAAATTCTACAAGCAATACCAACCAACTCCACAAACCTAAAATTAAGAAGACTAAACAACGCTAAACAGACTATCCATCCTAACTCAGTTCTGAATTCTGTTCTGATTTTCAGTTCCGAATTTGGTTCTGAAAGTCAGCTCTTAATTACGTTCTGATTTTCAGTTTTGAATTCAAATCTGATTTTCAGTGCTGAATTCAATTCTAAATTCAGGTCTGATTTTCAGCTCTGAATTCAGGTCTGATTTTCAGTTCTGAATTCAGTTCTGATTTTCAGTTCTAAATTCAGGTCTGATTTTCAGCTCTGAATTCAGGTCTGATTTTCAGCTCTGAATTCAGGTCTGATTTTCAGTTCTGAAAGTTGGCTCTGAATTCAATTCTGATATTTAGTTCTGAATTCAGTTCTGAAATTCGGCTTTGAATTCCGTTCTGATTATCAATTCTGCATTCAGTTATGAATTTAGACTTTGAATTCATTCTGATTATCAATTCTGCATTCATCTCATGTGATAATAATTAAGAGTTCAATCTCAGTCAAATGAAGGTTTACCTCTAACAAGCGAGGACTTAGCTCCGTTGGATTGGTTGAGTAAGATGGGGAAGGTTGAGCATCATTTACTTGCAAATCATTAACAGTCATGTGTCGTATGAAAGCAGAAAGATAAGAATTTACAGCTGCTGCAATGTCTTCCTTTAATTTTTCTTCAAATTCCCGAGTTAAGTTCTCTTTAAATTCATCTAGTTCTTGTAATGAGCAACCACTTTTAGACATGTTTTTACCTTTTACAGGGCCAAATGCTTTTCTATAGCCGACACCAATCCCACATCCACCAAGTCCTTTCACAAATCCACGATGGTCCTTTTTCCCAAATGCCAAAGTAAGGGCATCAACGCCTCGCTCTGATTGTTTACACTCTCCTTCCTCAGATTCCTTTGCTTGTTTTTGCAAGTTCTCTTCCTGTTTGACAAAACATAGAAAAAGTTAATTAGTTGAACAAAAATCTGTAATGTCAGTAGATTTCTTTGTTTTGATAAACTATGACATACAACTATATTGGCAATTCGAATAGTCTCCGTATCTTTTGGGTCGATGCCCCATGTTCCATCTGGCAACCGCTTTTCATGAGCTAAAACCCACTCAAGAGCTCGACGATCAAAAATAGAACCAGTTGATGTACTGCTCTGGGAAGTGTGGCCAGTAGTTGAAGATTCTGCCAGAGCAGGAAATCTATTTTCAAGTCTCTTTTGCTTATTCCAAATTATCCAAGCTCTTTGAAAACTGTTTCGACCCAAGTGATGGCGACATTTTTTTAGCTTTGCATTTTCCTTCCCCTTTTCACTCTTTTCCTGTTTTTTTTTAAAAAAAAAAAAGAAAAGAAAAGAGAGTTAAACATTATCATATTCTTCACAATCAGTTTTTGTTTGATTAATTAACAGTGCATGTGAATATGTAGTTACCTTGAATTCTGCTGATTTACTATATATTTCGAATCTCTTCCATTTCTCCTCTGTAAAGTAACCTTCATACACTTCCCATGGCTTCATATTTGCTTTAGGAAAAGTGGCCGGGTATATGGGTTTTTAAAAGTGATGAATCGTGCCCTTAAATTCGACTTGTGACAGCTGAATCGCGAAGCCACAGCACTATGAAATCTTTTTTGCCTTTCTCCACTTGGATCCTCAATGTGGAACATTCGCTGTGGATTAAAAAAAAGTTAACTAATATTTTGAATAGCAACATGACTAACTAGTAAGTGAATAGTTTATACCTTTGTCTCTTCCCATATATTTTCCCGGTCCACTTTATCTATTTTTGCATACTCATTCACAGTGATGTCTAATCTCTTAGCACATGCACCAATTTGTTTTCCATAAGCGGGTTCCCATTCACCAGTAGGCAAGTCAAAATCATTAAATTCAAGCACCATAGGCTTACTTGATTGTATTGCCTTTGATGGCCCCCTACTCCTCTTCTTAGATGATGTGGCTTGCAAAGCAACATCTTGGCTTGAGGAAGTTTGCTCTTGACTTTGTTGAATGGCCATATATGCTCCTTGATCTAGAAGTGCCCGCATAAAACAAAAGACAGAAACTGATATAATTAAATATCACATGAACAGAGCTATATTTTTACAGATTATAAAAGGTTTCTATCTACAAGTAAGTAACAAAGCAAGCAAATATAAATAATAAAAGCAACCTGCAGAGACATTATTTTTCAATTCCTGAAGTTATAATACCAATAAAAACAGTCAAGCTTGTGCCGCATATATAAGAACTATGTAAAATTCCATTAAATCTGTCAAAGCTCAAAAGACTAAAATCCAAGTGAAACTGGAGGTTTTATAGTCATCTAACATTATTGTCTAGCATTATAGTTACAAATTAATCGAAGAATTAAAAAGAACTACAGATTGATAAAAAATGAAGCCTAGGTATCAACATATTCTCCCTCCTCATGGGCATACTCTTCATCAGCGACAATGTCTTCCCCCTCTCTTAGGGGTTGAACCCCAATAGATAGAGGCGGTGTATCATCAAATAGGTCATACTCTTCCTCATCGACAACATTTTTGACACCAACAATTCTTCTCTTGCCTTGAACAACAACCTGCCAGTTATGATCAATGTTATCCCTTATATAGAAAATTTGTTTTGCTTGTGAAGCTAAAACAAAGGGCTCCTCCCCATCAACAAATCGACTTGAATCCACTAAAGTAAAACCAAATGAGCAGCCTAATTCTTCAATTAGGTCAAAATAATCTTAAAACATATCAAAAATTGAGAATTCACACTATTTTCTTACATAATGAAAGCGCTGAATTCTTCCTAGGTCTATAGGGCTGTAGGATTTTATAGTCAAGCATAACAAATTACACCAAAATCAGCATATACTAGCAGTCTTAACATCACATGGTCATGAACAATTTCTGGAACAATCAGTAGCACAGGGCACAAACAGAGCACAAGCAGAACAGCCACATGACAGCAGCAACTAAACGAAGCATAATGCATAATTTTCATGGAATCAAACAAACCAAACAAAAAGGCCTGACATACTCGGCTAGTGTACCCCAATTAGACATGCATGTACCCCAATTACACAAAGCAGTTCACAAACAATAATCATTTCTATTAAACCTTTATCTATTAAACAGCAGCCTGACATACTCAACTAGTGTACCCCAATTAGACATGCATGTACCCAAATTACACAAAGCAGTTCACAAACAATAATCGTTTCTTAATTTTTTTTTGTTCAAAATTATTCATCAAAACCTAATTTCCTTGGTTTTTTAATAATCTAATTTCATTAAAAATTAATCAAGTAATTGAAAACAACAACAATCAATTCGAATTTACATGTAAAAACACTAATTCGAAAGTAAAATAACCCTAATTTAAAAGGAACACATACCTCAAACTTTGATAAAAGTCCCCTATAGCTGATCCCAAATTCGAACAAGCCAAAACAACAATTAATGGAGTGAGATGCAGCGACAGAGAAGGAAGAGAGGTGAAGGAGAAGGAGGAGCAGTGAAGAGGTGAAGGAGGAGCAGTACGTGAAGGGGGAGCGAAACTACAGTAGTGTTAGTTTTTTTTTATTTTTGCGAATTCTGAGTATGTAATAGCTACCTTAATTTTTTTTTCTTTTGTTTTTTTTTACCTTTAATCAAAATTTAAATGAAAATTACTTTTCAAAAAAAAATTTTAATGAAAAATAAATAAAATTAAGAGAAAGTATAAAACTAGAAACTTTCCTTCAAAAAAAAAAAAAAGAGTAAACTAGAAACTTAGTATTTGTTGGTTTAAAAAAAACAAAAATTATTGTTAGACTTATTATTTATAACCAGCATTTGTAAGCTAGTTACAAAATTTTTACTTTGACTTATTATTTGTAACTGGCGTTTGTAAGCTAGTTACAAATGTTTTGGTCAACTTTTCTTTGACTTGTTATTTGTAACTGGCGTTTCTAAGCTAGTTACAAATGTTTTGGTCAACTTTTCTTTGACTTGTTATTTGTAACTGGCGTTTCTAAGCTAGTTACAAATGTTTTGGTCAACTTTTTTTGACTTAATATTTGTAACTGGCGTTTATAAGCTAGTTACAAATGCTTTGGTCAAACTTTCTTTGACTAAGTATTTGTAACTGGCGTTTGTAAGCTAGTTACAAGTTTTTTAGTCAAATTTTTTGTGACTGAACATTTGTAACTGACATTTATTTAGTCAGTTACTAATAAAACTTCAAATAAAGATACACCATATATTAGTAAGTGACATTTACTATGTTGGTTACTAATGTCATGGAATTTGTAACTGGCATTATCTTAGTCGGTTACTACTAATGCTTATGTAACTAGCATAATATACGCCAGTTACTAATAGGGCGTTACAAATAGCATTTTTTCTACTAGTGAAACCTGTCTAGCCTCTCACGAACAATAGTAGAGGAAGTATGGCCTCTTTCCCATGTGTACCATTGGCCTTCGTAACCTAAGTCACGCAAATTGTACTCATCAAGAATGGCACAGAAATCATCCATAGTACGACGCTCATTTTCAATGCCTCCCTCCTTCTCTTCCATACTACGGATTTCATTGAAATCACCCCCAAATAAAATCGGACCATTGATCGATTCACAAATTGATTTAACAAGAAGCCAGGTCTTGTATTTTTCGGCAGCAGACGACTAGTCATAAATAGACCCGGCAATCCTGACCCAACCCGAATGACCTGACTCGTAACCCGAAAGTTGACCCGAAATCATTGACTCGAAATGACCCGAACCCGAACCAGCCCGACCCGACCCAAAGTGACCCGACCCGAAATTGACCCGAAACCCGAACTTGACCCGACCCGAAATGACCCGAAACCAGAAGTGACCCGACCCGATTTTAACCCAAATTGATTGACCCGAATCGACCCGACCCATAGTGACCTGACCCGAATTGACCCGAATCCTAAGTGAATAGGGTGAAATAGTGAATTACTTAGTTTAGGGCTTCTTTATTTCCTACGTAATAGGTACTCATGATTTTTTTTAACGATTTTACTTTATTTTTCCAACTATTTTTTTTAAAGTGAATTTATTTTGGTGACCCGACACAAACTTGACCCGAATAGACCTGACCCGAATTGACTCGATCCGAATTTGACCCAACCCGAAATTGATTCGAAAATTGATCTTAAAAATTGACCCGACCCGAACAGACCCGACCCAAATTGACACGACCCGAACTTGACCTGACCCTACCTGAACTTGACCCGAAGTGCTGACTCGATTTTGACCCGAAACCCGAATCAACCCAACTCGACCCGACCCGAATCCAACCTGAATGACCCGACCCGAACCCAACCTAAATGACCCGTTTGTGAGGTCTTAGCCCATAAACACCAACAAAATACCAAGTAAATACAAAAAGATGGTACACGCATTCACTAAACCTCTAACCAATAACTCCACCATTACCAACTTTATGTATATAAAACAATATCCATGACCAAGAAAATCGAAAGAGGTAATCAAACAACTCCCTCGTCAAACAACCCCATCAACACACTCTCTCTCCTCTAGTCCTCTGTACCAAATAATGCAACCACTCATCATCCTCTTTATTCTCATCATACTCATCCTCCTCAAGCTCACTCACACTATCTTATAGGTCCCATGGAAAATCCAACGCCGCTTCATGAACCAAGGCATATTAGGCCCCACATACCGCCCAATCTTCGGCAACACGGCCCAAATCCGACTGTTGTATGCTGAAGCCCAATCCAGGCCCATTCAAAATGAACAAGAAGATGGAGATGGTCTAATGGTACTGAATCATGATATCTGTCATCGAGTCATGCCTTTCTACCATAAATGGTCGGCCCAATATGGGAAGACTTTCTTATATTGGTTTGGGCCTAGGCCCATGCTTGCTATTGCTGATTATCAGATGATTAAGGAAGTGTTGATCAATAAAAATGGGTTGTTTAGGAAATTGAAGTATAATCCTTTGGCTAAAGTGTTGTTTGGTCAAGGACTTGTTGGCCTTGAAGGTCATAAATGGGCTTTTCATCGTCGTATTGCTAATCAAGCTTTTACCATGGAAAGGATTAAGGTATGTTCACTAATTAATGATCAATACTTCTTGTAAATTAATTTATTTGATGAATTTTATTTTTATTAATGAATAAAGTATACTTCCTTTATTTTTTTTACTTGACAGGTTTCTTTTATCGCGCTTCTCAATGTAAAACTTTAGCAATCAATAACCTTAATTTTCCGTAAGTAAAAATTATAGAAGTTGTACACTATGATAGTGTTTATTGAGACAAATTCAAAAATTTTCTACATGAATATATTTTTCCTTACATATCATTCAAAAGACGATCAAAGAATGGGCAGTGAATAGTGTAAATGTCAAAACGGGTCAAGTAAAAAAGAACGGATAAAATATATTTCATGAAAAAATAACATATTATAAAAACATGGGTTTATTAAGAAATTTTTAGTTTGCATCATATAATCTTCAAGTTGTTAAAAAGTCCTACAAAATATGAACTTTTAAAGGACATAGGAATATATCTATAAGTACTCATTCTAAGGGTCTGTTCTCTTCAGCTTAATTTTAGTTCAATTCAGTTTAGTTCAGTTCAATTCAATTTAGTTCCTTATTTCCTACTCTCATAAACAATACATTTCAACTCTATTCAGTTCAGTTTAGCTCAGCTCAGTTCTAATCGGTTCAATTCAGTTCAGCTCAGCTCAGTTCAGTAAATCAGAACAAGACCTAACTATTTTTTTTGTTTCTTTTATTTGTAACTAGTACGTACCCCGGGCAATGCCTCGTGTTCCTTTCGCAATATATATCTTTATGTTTTAAAAATCCTTACATTAATTCGCCACTTATAAAGACGGGTTAAAGTTGTGTTAAAAGTATTTAAAAGTTATAATTATTTATCTTATGCGTGTCACACTAATTCATATTTGTTGTTTACATGACGTGACACTTGGCGAAAAATCAAAATGCCAAGTTTTGTTTTGGTTGATTAAAGTGTATCATAAATAAGTCCTGTTTTGTAGAACTTTATAAATTTTATGATATAAGTTTAATTTAACATATTTATAAGATATATTTTTAAAGTTACAATCTACTTATTCATATGGAAAATTAGAAGTCCTATCAGAAATAAAACTATAAATAACTTTTTTATCAGAAATAAAACTCTAAATAACTTTTTTATCTTAAAAAAATCTATCTTAAATTCTCTTATCTAGCGTTAGAGGTGTCATACTAAATCTTATATGTCACCTATGTGGCACGACACTTGGTGAAAAGTTAAAGCGTCAAGTGTCGCTGTCTGGTGGCCTGGCTAAAAATTTAGCTTTATATATTAGTTATATGATATGATATGATATAATGTTCAATTTAAGGTTTAAAATTTTAAATAGAATGTATGCTAAATTATTAGCAGATAATCAAATCTATTAAATGAATGGTGCAAGAGGTAAGTACTGTATAACTGAGTAAGCATGCATTTTGAATTAGAGGTTACAAATCTTCGCCAAAATGAACAAGTTCATTGTCCCTCTTTCATTCGGTGTCTTGTACTATGAGGAGCAGATGATTTATTTATTTATTATATTAAAAAGAATTAATTGCATAATATAGGTTATACTCCATCCATTTTGTATTTAAATAATACAATAATTAAACCATTATATTATTCATACCCATCCTATGTATTTATCTATGTACTTGTATCATACTACCTCTGTTTCTTTAGTTGACACGTATTCCTTTTTAGGAATTTTTTTTAGTTGACACGTTTCCTTTTGAGGTAACTTTTTTACCTTGTATTTACAAGCTACCCAACTTGCTTTTTCATTCTCTCTCACTCTCTCTCATCTCCTTAATATATGTGCCTAAATCAAACGCGTCAACTAAATAGAAACGGAGGAAGTATCAATTTGACACGTTTGTCATTACATTGCTTTGACTATTAATAACTTTAACTATGTCCTTTCTCTAGCTGTTAAAAAGGATTGATCAATACTCCTAAAGTGCATAATCTCAATAACTTCTATCATATTCTTAATTAAGAATCTTCAACTCATCTACTCCATGATGTAACTATTGCTGCATTTAGAGTTGGATACCAGACATTGTTGCTAGTACAAAAAAGACACTAACAGCATGGGAGGAGACCAAAGGAGGCCAAGAAGAACTTGAGCTTGATGTGCACCAAGAGCTTCATACTCTCAGTGCAGATATTATATCAAGGACCGCCTTTGGAAGCAGCTACGAAGAGGGAAAGCGAATATTTCAATTACAAGAACAACAAATGAACCTTGTCTCCCTTGCTCTCAGAAGCATCTACATTCTTGGATTTAGGTTCGTATTCTGTATTACACTCTTAGATTATAAGGCTATGTTTGGATAACAAAAAATGGAAGGAAGGGAAGGGAAGGGAAAGGGAGGGAGACAAACTTCCTTGTTTGGATAATATGTTGGGGGAGGGAAGGGGAGGGGAGGGGGAAGGAGGGATCCATTTTCCCTCGTCCTTTAATAAAGACCATCCCTTTTAAATTGGAGAGATTTGGAGGGAATATGGAGCTCATCATTCCTTCCACTTTCCCTTCCTTCCCCTACCTCTTATTTCCCTTCTAATTTGTTATCCAAACATAGCATAAATGTCTAGATTGTCTGATATATCAATGAGATACATCAGACATTTAGATACACCAGACACTTAGATATGTACCCAAACCCAACACTTGTAATTACACATGGGTGACATACACTTATTATACAAGGGTACATATCTAAGTGTCTCATTAATTCATTATTATTTCTAATTTACTTGATTAATTTATATCACCATAATCGAATGATGCAAATTTTGGAATACAGGTTTTTGCCAACTATGAAAAACAGAGAGAGGTGGAGGTTAGATAAGGAAACTCGTGATTCGATTAAAGTGTTAATCTCAAGAAACCAAGATTCAACTAAAAACCAAAGCAACTTGCTGAGTTTATTCATGTCTGCTACTGATTATGATGAGGATGGAAAAGAAAGGAGATTGAGTATAGACGAAGTCGTAGAAGAGTGTAAGACTTTTTACTTTGCAGGGAAAGATACAACTGCTAATCTTCTTACTTGGGCACTCATCTTACTAAGTACAAACCAAGAATGGCAAAACAAGGCAAGGGATGAAGTTTTTCGAGTTTGCTGTGTCCATGGATTTCCTACTGCAGACAACATCAATGACTTCAAGCTTGTGAGTTTCTTTCTTTTCCACCCTTCTGATCTCTTGTTTAAGTACTGTTCGTAGCTGGAATTCTAGTAGTAATAAGCATTATACTTAACTAAAATTTTCATGTCTATGGTCTTAATGAAATATAGAGAAGTATGGATTGACCATGACATTTTTTAAAAAAATTTATTATTATTATTATTATTATGATAGAGAGAGTCGTAATGATAGTAGTGTAGACCAGATTTGATCAAAGTTGACGGTTGTCACTCTTCAAAAAATCAAAACTATAACTAAGCTAGTTGGCATCCAAGAACAAAATATCTTGCTTTACATATGCATGTTTGATTGACCAGGCCAAGGGTTATATTCATTCTGTCACACATTGGAATAGTAGCTATATATATGTAAATCAATAAATGTCAGAAATAATTGGTCAAACTAATTTAATTTCTCCTTGAGCAGTAAGATTGTGTCATACATAGCTTAACTACAAGGGCTTGACTCTATTCTGGACAAAAAGAAGAGTAGAACTGTAGCAAATTTGATGATTTCAGATATTCATTGATTAATCAAGGAAAACCCTATACAATTTTTTCATTTTTTTTTATTTAAATCAAATTGATCTTCTACGAATGGCATTGTTAACAGATTAACATGATACTCAACGAAACCTTACGATTATATCCGCCTGCTGTGATGATGAAGAGAAGAACTATCAAAGAAGCGAAGTTAGGAAATCTTACAATTCCTGCAGAAACACAGCTATATCTAGCCATGACGGATGTTCATTATGATGTGAATATTTGGGGAGAAGATGCAAACAAGTTCAACCCTTTGAAATTTACGGAACCTCGAAAGCATCCAGCCACATTTTTTCCTTTCTCATTAGGTCCAAGAGTTTGTGTTGGGCAAAACTTGGCTATGGTGGAATCAAGAATTGTACTAGCCATGATTGTTCAAAAATATATGTTGGTGTTATCTCCAACTTATGTTCATGCACCAATGCAATTGTTGACCTTGCAACCTCAATATGGGGCTCCTATCCTTTTTAGGAAAGTCAACTAATTTATATTGACTATCTTGGAGCTTGGCCGGCCCGGAGGAGTAGGCCTCGAGTGTGACCGCCTAGAGCCCACGTCAGAAATCAGTTTGTATAGTTGTAGTATTTTACTCTGTAGTTTTTACTCGTTAGAAAAAACTACTTTTTAAAAAGTTAATTACTGTATTTAGTTAGCACTTAACATTAAACTACTTAGATTTCAATCAGGTGGTGATAACAATGCAATATAACCTCTTCACTTGAGAGTGAGGGATAGCTCAAGTGGTTAGAGCTTCCCTCCTGATATTTGGAGGTCCTGGGATCGATTCTCACCCCTACCCTTTTTGCTCTCTAAACACCAAAAAATTATAACCTCTTCACTTCTTTTTCAATGAGTATTTGCTCCAAAATATTAATCTTTTCCATTACACTGTTTCATATTTATTCAATTACCCAAATATATATTATGCAAAGTTATTACTCCAGGATTGTGTATGGAGACTTACTATTCAAATAATATAAGCTATTTTCATTGTCTTATATTTAAAGCTATTGCATGTAAAAAAATTTGTTACGTAAGGAGCCCTTTTCTTACATTATACCTAGGGCCCATAAATTTCAAGGAACGGGGAATTTTAGTTTATTTAAAAAACAAGTTTTGTGCCCCGTGCGATGCTCGAATTGTTTATTGAATTCTAAGATAAAATTTTAATCTAATTCAAATTTATATATATATATATATATATATATATATATATATATATATATATATAGACACACACACACACAAAATAAGTTAGAAATTGATGTGCTTTTGTGACGATTTGTTATCTAGTAGGCATGTAATGACTAATAATAATTTTGGTGGAAATGTTCAATTTAATTTAATACATTTAAAAAAAATGAGCAAAAAGTAATTAAATAAAATAAATGTTCAAAGCCCGTTGGGTTGACCTGAAACTTTGGGCAAGGGTTGAACATTTCTTGACTCGTTGGGCTTGTTCACATTTACTGAAGTGAGCTGAACTGAACTGAAATGAACTGATTGGAGATGAACCAAACTGAACTGAAACGAATAAAGTTGAAATGAATATATTTTTGAGAGAAGGAAATTAGGAGCTGAACTGAACTTAACTGATTGGATATGAATTGAACTAAAGTAACTGAATTGAAATTAAGCCATAGTGAACAGGCCCATAATATGAAGTGACCTAGTCCAAGATGACTCATGACCCGACTATAATTGACAGGTCTACATAATAATAAAATTCTATTGAAAATTGAATTATATTATTACACCGATTAGTATATATTATAAATGGATGTTTTACGCTTTAAACTACTTCGTTCGCTAAAAAAATATAAAGATATAAAAAAAAAAATTTATGATAATTTTGTAGAATTATAATTTAATTATTTTTTTGAATAAAATTATAATTCAATTTGTATATTTAAAATATTGGTATTTTATCGAAAATAAAACTCTAAACTAACAACTTTATCCTAAAATTCTATTCAAATAGAATTCTAAACTAACTTTTTTTTTTATCTTATGAATTCTATTAAAATCTATCCAACGTGGCTCGACACTTGGCAAAAAGTTGAAACGCCAAGTGTCGCTACCTTGTGACATGGCTAAAAGTTTAGCTTTATATATTAGGTATATGATTATCGTGTAGTTTGACCGGTAGTACAAATGCTTACCATGTTGATTATTCACTTGTACCATTTATGTTTCTTTTCTTTTCAATGTTTGTGTTTTATACCAAAAATATATGAGCTACAACATCTGTTTTTATACTTGATTTCTTTTATTACTAATTTATACAACAATATTGATGCATAATAATCCAGTTTTTATTAAATAAATGACACATTTGACTTTTTGCACTATATTCACATACTAACATACATTGATCATAGTTTTTATAGTAACTGTAGGCGTCGCTCGAAGTGCGCCTACGTTAAAGCATGTGTGAATATGCTTGGCACTCATAGGAAATGGGAATTGACATTACGATTAGGGACAATGATTAGGGACAAATAAAGTAGGGAGCCGCCAACAAGTTTTTAAGGAACTTGTAAACCGTTCACGGATCATAAAAGGCAACCACGATAAAGGGACAACGATAGGCAACAACGATTGACCCGTGAAGGTTACACCCCATTCATAATCCATGAGATTACTAACTCCATATGGTTCGGAACCACGAAAGGAGGATCGGGGATGTTGGTACGAAGTGAGTCATGGAGTCACATTCGCCCGTATTGGCCTCTACTCGATTTTTATAGTGAAAAATGATTCCTGCGATCTCAAAGGCATACAAACAAAAATTCAATTTGCTCCAAACTATTATTATGCTAAATTGGTTAAATATTAATGCAACACATAATTCTAAAATATTAGTGATCACTTGAATTAACAACAAGATTAAAAAGGAACCTAAACCAGTTGTCCAAATTATCTTATTAGGCGTGATTTCCAATTACATATTCCCTTTCAACATGCAATATAGTGATCAATAAATAATAATAGAATAAACATTAATATTGGAAGCAATTTAACAATATTTCTAACAATATAAAATCGTTAGAAAAATAATAAAAATAAAAGGAACATAATTCTTACTTTGATTCTGTTTGTTTGCAACTACAAAATAATAAACGAGTTAGTAACTTCAAGGAAATAATAATAAAACAATAATTAAATTAAATAGAATTGATTTGGGGCCAAACCCTCAAACAGTTCTAACTTTCACGCCTTGGCTTAAGGACAGAACCACGAGTAAAGTATGGACTCCTAGGAGTGCTTGAAGAAGGAATTTTGAAAGAAGAAGGGTAGGCTAGTGTTTAGGCTAGAGCATAGAAGAGAGAAAAATAGAGAATTAATTGATGCCCCGTACACCAGAAATGAGGGGGTATTTATAGAGAAAATGTACTGAGGGAACACACGGAACCCTAAAATGATAAAACCCTAAAAAAGTATCCCGCGACACGGCAAACTGTACCGTGACACGGGAAATCCCACCATCAGACGGGAAACATTCCCGTGACACGGTGCAAATTTTGTGTGACGCGGGAAATATTTAGTAAACGGGGGAGAAAACGCGTTAAGGGTTTACGCGGAAAGGACACGCAAATTCCCGTGTCACAGCAGGTTTCCCGTGTCACGGGAAATCCCACCGTCGGACGGGAAAGTTTCCCGTGACACGGTGGACAGATGCCGTGGCGCAGAAATTTTCAGTCCGCTTTTCCGTCTAAATTCATTTTTAACCCTAATTTCATTCAGCATTTTAAGTGCCGATTGATAATTTCGGGCTTTTTCTGATTTATTTTTATTTGGGCTAAAATAAGAAAATAAGTAAATAAAATAAATAAAAGGTTTGGGCCAAAAATAAATAATAAACAATAAAATAAAAAAGGTTTGGGCTGAAATTAAAAAATCTATGCTTTGACCAAACATCAAGACTGACCCATGGACTATTTAAAAATTGAATTTAATTAAATACGATTTCTTAAGCACTCTCGGGATTAAATACTGAACCCGACCAATAGTGGCGGTGAAAGGTTGTTCATCATCGGGTTTGGTTTTGGGGAGACATTTTTAGGTGTCTACAGAAGCCCCCACTTTGACTGAGTTTGTAGCAACGTCTGTTTCGAAAACGATAGTCAAAGTAGTCGATAGGGACGGAGAATGATTTAAGACGTTCGGCGATCCTAAATCACTCTGTATACACCGATACCTGCAGAAAAAATGTTAATGCTACAGATAAAAGAGTAAAAAGATAGAATACGTATCTGGCACCAATGTATCGGTGGCAAATGAGTTTGGCAGCTTCCTATACTTGAAGGAATCCACCGGATGACGTTCGTTGAAACGCTTTCCATACCTGAGGAAAGCCGAATGAGGAATTTGGTAGCTTTCTAAGCCTGAAGAAACCTACCGGATGATACTTTCCATGCCTGAGGAAAGTCAACAAATGATGAGAGTGCAAATCTCTGTGTATTGAGAACCTTGCGCCGTGAAATGATGGTGGTTCGATTGTCCCCAAACGTGGGATGTAGTTGGTTCACTTGTCCCCGAACGTGGGCTGTAGATGGTCCGCTTGTCCCCGGACGTGAGTTGTAGATGGTCCGCTTGTCCCCGGACGTGGGCTGTAAATGGTCCGCTTGTCCCCGGACGTGGGCTGTAGATGGTCCGCTTGTCCCCGGACGTGGGCTGGTTGTAAATGGTCCGCTTGTCCCCGGACGTGGGCTGTAGATGGTCCGCTTGTCCTCGGACGTGGGCTGTAGATGGCCCGCTTGTCCCCGGACGTGGGCTGTAGATGGTCCACTTGTCCCCGGATGTGGGCTGTAGTTGATCCGCTTGTCCCCGGACGTGGGATGTAGATGGTCCGCTTGTCCCCGAACGTGGGTTGTAGATGGTCCGCTTGTCCCCGGATGTGGGCTGTGGTTGGTTCGCTTGTCCCCAAACGTGGGTTGTAGATGGTCCGCTTGTCCCCGAACGTGGGTTGTAGATGGTCCGCTTGTCCCCGGACGTGGGTTATAATTGAGACCTGCAAAGTAAAATTTGCCAGGGGACTCGTATATATTGTGATTGACTTGATCACTGACTTGACCAAGTTTGACTTGACCACTGACTTGACCAAGTTTGACTTGATGTGACATGACATGTGTATGACTTGTGAGTGTGTGTGTGTATATGTGTGTGTGCAAAAACAAGCAAACGATGATGCAAAAGCAAAAATTTTCCGTCAATTTTTGTCATGAGTGGAGGGTATTGACTGTCTCCTGAAAAAAAAAGATGTGAAAAATGAACTTTTATTTTCGAACTTCCCTCGATGAGAAAATTTTGAAAAAGTTTTTTTAAACTTCCTCAAAAGAAAAGACGCGAAAAAAGGAAAGAAGTTTTGAACTTTCTCGTTGAGCAAGACAAAATGAATCGAATGGATTAAATTGCTTTTCTTGAAATTAATGTATGCATGATGCATGTCCTTAGGCCAGGAGGCTAAGGACAATTACATCATGTGACATGATAGATGAATTAACTTAGGTCTTGGAGCTAAGCATCATTTATGGTGTAAAGAAACGATCTTGAACGTCACTTAGGTCTGGAAGCTAAGCACGTATACAGATGGAGTGATTATTGCATAATGAACGTTTCTTAGGTCAAGGAGCTAAGCATGATATGCTTTGTATGATTAAAAATCATTGATATATAAATGTTTCTCAGCACGTTATGCAATGCATGAAACAATGAATATTGCTCAGGTCAGGAAGCTAAGCAATTATACAATGTTTCTTCTAATGAATGTTGTCTTTAAATATGATGAAACATGCACAGTGTTGAAACAAGATTCCATGATAAAGGGTTCTTAAAGGGAGGATGATATGGATATGGATGTGTGAGTGAAGTGT